GGATTGTAGCTGAGGTCTCCTGGCCATCCACTCAGGAGGATTCTTTTCTTTTACCATCACCTGGGCACTGCCAGCCCCAGGCATCCTGGAGTCGCACCTGCGGGCCACAGGGGTGAGCTCTGTGGTCACAGTGACCTGAGCATGGCGGATACCTGGTCCAGGTCAAGCTCTTCTGATTCTCTCTCTGGAGGTTGGGAATTAGGGTTTTGTGGCTGATTTGGTAACATGTAAACCAAGGAGTGCCCTGGCCAGGTGGCTCAGTTGATTGGAGCATTGTCCCATACACCAGAAGGTAGTGGGTTCAATTCTTTGTCAAGGCACATACCTTGGTTTCGGGTTGATCCCCAGTCTGGGTGCATATGGGAGGCAACAAATGATGTTTCTCTCTCTTTCCCCCCTTCCCCTCTCTCTAAAATCAATGCAAACATAAGCTCGGGTGAGGATTAAAGAAAAAGGGAGTTATCATCAGCCACATTCTGCAGATCATATGGACTAAGACATTTGTGTGCAGGGACAAAACAATGAGGCTGATACCCAGAGAGCAGAGAGGTGGTGGGGAGGGAGAGGGAGGGGGAGGCAGGAAGGGGAGAAGGAGGGAGGGGAAGTGGGGGGAAGAGAAGGAGAAACCAGGTTCAGGCATAGTCTCGGTTCCTGTTTTCTCCCGACCTGAGTTCTGAGCAGACACTCCTGTGCAGCAGCCTGGTATTTAGCTTATGACAGTTTCCAAGGGTTCTATTACTTGAAAACAAGGAGTTTCTGATCGTTATAATGGTGGAGTCAGGCTGCAGCAGGAAGTAGATTTTAAAGGACTCTTCTTCATAGCACTTTGGGTCAGAAACCGTGTTTTCTTCACACAGGCCACTATTTCCAAGCCGGTGTGTCCCGGCCGCACCGTGAGTCCCTCGTCTTACACGCAGGGCGATGACGGACGCCCTTCCTTCCAGCTGTTCCAGACTTGTTTCTGCCCAAACAGCCTTTTCTGATTATTAAACAAAACAAACAAAATAAATCCCACAGCCATTTGGAAGCCGATTTCTGCCTGTGCCAACGTGAGGCAGCCAACGGGATGCAGGGCTGCACATCCCCCGACTGATTTTTCATGTTTCAGAGAGAATGGGAGGGAGGGAGGGAGAGAGAGAGAAACATCGATGTTGAGAGAACACATGGATTGGTTGCCTCCTGCACAGCCATGGTTGGGGCCGGGGAAACCTGCAACCCAGACACGTGCCCTTGACTGAAATCGACCCGAGACCTTCAGTCTGAGGGCCGATGCTAAGCGCTGAGCCAAACCAGCCAGGGCATGGGCTGTACATCCTTATGAGGTCAAGGAGGACGTGGAAAGAGCGGGGTTTGCATACTGGAGGCAAAAATGGCCCCTTCCACAGCAAACGACCGCGAGACGGGCAAGAATGAAAACCGGCAATAGGCTCAGAAACCCTAAGTGAGCTGCCAAACCCAACGTGGGCAGTGGTGGCGCTGTCCCTCCTGTACAGGTGTCACAGCAGGCGCGCGGGGGCACCCTGCCCCAGGGCCTGGCGGGGGGGTGGGCAGTCAGAAGGAGCACACTGCATGTGACTCATGTCCACAGGTCCCCAGGGAACAGGATGCTACAGGGGACCTGACAGGGTGCGGTGGGCAATCACTGAACTTTTCTCTGGGCAGGGCCACTTTGAGAGTCAGCACAAGGGAAGCTGGGGCAGGGGAGGAAACCGGGGCCTGGGTCTGCCTCTGCCCCAGGCTCCCCGCGTGCAAGACACCAAGCAGCACTGCACAGCAGACCCTCTGGCCAAATGGGGACGAGAGCTGGCCGACACACCTTGGTGCGGTCTCCATCTCTCTGGCACAGTCCTGGGACCCTGGCAATGGCCTACTGCTGGGAAGGACTTGGCACAACTAACACAGGTGCCACAAGCCACGGACGAGGCCAGCTGTGGGGCTGGGAGTGAGGAGGTGGGTAAGATCAATTCACGGCCAGAGTACACAGCTGGCCACAGCTGCCCTGTCACTGCTGTGGGAGGAGGGACAGTAGTCCAGCAGGGGCTCCGGGGCCTGCGGGCCTGCAGACTTCTAGCACTCAGCCACCAGGTGTACTACTAGGGTAGAAGACCATCAGAAAGTGAGCTATTCCATGTATAGGACAGTGTGTCCTTAAGTCACCTGGATGGACAGAGATGCAGACATGGTATGAGGTAAGCAATGGAGTGGTGTTTCTGTTTATCCAACAGTTTTCATTTTAGGGGGAAGCCTGTTAATCTCATCATTTCTTCAACAACTTCCTTTTAGTGCCGAGGATGTACAAGTAACCCCAGAGAATTTAGGATTTAAAATAGCAACGACTGCATCTACATACAGTGTGGAAAAGTACACACTTACTGCATGAAATTACAGCGCCACTTGAATTTGCTTCCAAAGCTTTGGTTTCCAGAGCCGAATGGTGGCTTTTCCTAGACACACTTTGTGAGGACAGTAGATAGGCCCCCCGGAGCAGGGACGGGGACTTTCCAAAAGCCTGGAGTGGGAGTTCCCACGCTGTACCTGTCGTGTTGGGGGTTTCTGTTCATCGCTCTTACTGAGGTCCCGGGGAGAGCTTGTTAGCTGGGGGAATAGTCTGATCGGCTGGCAGACTTGAACCCCTGGCAGAGTACGGACAGGGCCTAGCGGGCATACTGGCTGATAAGCGTGACAATGTGATTATTCGTTCCTTTCACTGAACACTTACTTTATTTATGCCACGCACAGAATACCCTCAAATTAACAACCCAAATTACACATTAAGGAAGTTTCAGAATAAAGCCTATTAGAAGTCAACATAAATAAAAAGTTTGTGTTTTATGTCTTAACTTCACACCAATCCTAAGCAGCTGGCGAGGGCCTTCAATAAGAGCTTCTGTCTTCAGTTTTGTTCGGTGGCTTGTCACTAAAATCCCTGGTTTTAGGAGACAATGGGGGCTGAATGAGGGTGGGAGGGGCTAGGAGTGACAGAGGGAACCATGCCCTCCAGCCCCAGCTACTCATGTTCCTGGGGACAGTGGCGCGCGTACCGCTGAAAGCCACCGTCTGCCCACAGGGCACTCGGGCCGCCGTGCCTCAGGGACGCCTGTTGAAGACGCAGACCAGAGCCGCTCCTGTCTGGTTCACTCTCTGCTCTTCCGTCTCAGTCGCTGGGAGTAAGAGGAAGTCGCTGAACAGATACTGACTTTGGAAGCGAACACTTAAAAAGCTGTTGGTGTTTTTCCGTGATCAACAATGAATATAGATGGTGTTGGCAACGGGACTATTTAAAAAAATAAGATTCAATGATCTTTTTGTTTTAAATGTCATTTCCCATTCATAGCTCTAAGACCAAAACACTGAAATCAGTGTTGAAAGTATCAATCAATTATATATGCTCATGTTTTTCACGCAAGCTAAGGCAGTGTGTGTGTGTGTGTGTGTGAGAGAGAGAGAGAGAGAGAGAGAGAAAGAAAAGGAGAGAGAGAGAGAGAGAGAGAGAGAGACTATCCTGCAAACACGTACCATGGAGGGCATACCTCCAATTGTCCTTTAAAGCCAGAAGAACTGGAAATTTTGAGGGGAAGGGAGAGACCCACCCTCCAGTCCACAAGGACCCACCCTCCCATCCATGGCAATGTACCTACAAGATGCAGAGGGTCAGGATTTCTGCCCAAAGTCAGAAAAACACCTTCTTAAGGCAAAAACACTAATGAGGGCCAAGATAGAAAACAGGAAAGAAAAAAAACAAACAAACTCCACACACAGGCCTTTTATGCCCCAAATTAGACCTGTCCCCATTGGGTGGTAAGAGAAATGTCAAGCGTGCTAGAACGCAATTCTTCATCCTCACGCTAAATATGGAGGCTGCAATGCTCCCTCCTTCAGCTCAATTATAGCAGCAAATGCCCGAGCTGCTGGCTTCTAAAAACAGAAGCAAGCGGACCAAACTAAGCAAATGTCTATTTAATAGACGTGTGTGTTCTTACGAAGGCTCAGAAAGCAGCAGAAGAAAACAGGTTTCCCTGGCCAGCTCTGACAAAGGGCTATCCTGGTTCCCACAGCCCCTTGGGCTACTGGCCCGGCAGGAAAGAAGAACCAATTTTTAAAAAGAAGGCAAGTCACAATTCGCTGCTCCTGCCTCTTCTTTTCATCCTGGATCTCCATGCTCTCCGGCTCCCAAATTGCCAGCCCATTGGCCAGGACAAAGCCTCGTCCTCCACCCCGTCTCTCGCCCTGATGGGATCTCAGGCCAGGCAATCTGGTACCAGCCTCTCCTCCCAGCCCTGCTTGGGAAACACACTGGGGCAAAGGGAATAAGCCACACTTTTCTGGTGGCAGGCTATTCCCACCAGCGCTCATCTGGAATGAAGACAGCAGTACTTCCAGTTTATACGCACAAGTGGGGAAATCCACTTCGACTCCCATCAGCTGTGCATATGTTCCTGTTTGGGTTGGTGAGCCGGATCAAGGGTGGGACCCGAGGGGGCTCGGGGAGGCGAGCACAGACAAAGCACAGACAAAGGCGACTGGACGGTATCGCCTGTCATTATTTGCGCTCACAGCTGTCTACACACAGACCACAGGATCGGCATCCCCGAAAACAAAAGACAAAGCCCAGAACGGGCAACGGTCTGCCGTTTCCCTCGCCGGAGACAGTGGTGCTCTGCCGGCGACCCTGCGTGGAAAAGTACTGCCCAGGGACATCAGAAGGTCTCTAAATGCCACAGATTGGGCGAGCTCTGTTTTTCTGTCACTGGACATGGGAATCGGAAGTGGAAATGGGTCCAATTCTCCAGAACAAGGTTACTATACATATAGGTGTTTATAGGCATCGGCCCCAGGCAAATGGCTTGCTGGGGTCTCCGGTGTGATCAGATCCAAAGCAAGCGGCTAAGCGTGGAACGCAAGGGAAGCTGCCGTCACACTGCAGTCAGAGACCAGACGGGAACCATACACGGCACTTGTTCCCTGCCCCTCGGAACAGAAGAACGCAGAGGTTTGCTTACCTTGAAGTTGTGCGTCTTCTCATAGTTGCAGTGGTTGTCGTTGTGCGTGAGGGCGGCCCTCCTGACCAGGGAAGAGATCTGTGGACAGGCAAAGAGTTTGAGAGGGGGCCAGAGAAAGCCGCCTTTGACGCCCACCTTCACCCCCAAGGCCACGGCCAGCAGCTCCTGGCGCTTCCTGCCCTGCTTCGGGTTCCGAAGCGCAGCACACTTCCTCTCGTTCTCCAGCCGCGGTTCCTCGGAGAACATAGTGTCCGGACCCCAGATCTTTTCAGTGTCCCCTGCGGAGCCTGGGAAGCCGGGGCTGTCAGGTTTGGGGAACCGCAGCGAACGTTAGGCAGCAGATTTGAGGCAGCTGCGTCCGTCCTGTCTGCAGAGGCCTGGGGCATGTGACCTGGAAGGGCCGGTTTGAGTGATGGAGGGGCTCTGCCTCTGAATAAGGACGGGCCTGTTTTGTGCTATTTCTTAAGGCCGGCGTGTGCCTGGAACAATAGCACACATTCATGTGCACAGCAACCCCCAGATGCTCAGCCAGTCAGCCACTGAACACTCAATGGGGGAGGCAGGGGCCGGCAGCTCGATTCCTCCTGCCACAGCACATTGCCAAGGAGAGACCTCTCCTGCTTCCTAGCACATTTCACACACACACACACGCATGCGCACACACACACACGCACGCACACATGCACACACACACACAGCTGGCTCTGATGTTCAAAGCCTGAGGCTGCATCCAATTATTTTGGGGCTCCGAAAACCATCCTGGGCTGAACGTTAAACCTTTAAGCCCTGACGATTGTTTAATCTTATAGGGCTCAAGCTTGAGTCTCTTTTTAAAAAAATCTGCCCCAGCGCTTGAAAGTTCAATTTCTATTTGTATGCACGCACTAAATTAGAACAGTCTGTGCACCAAGTGGGGTATGGGTGCGGGGCGTAGCGTTTCAGCTCTGAGTTTTACAGCCAACATTTCAAAACAAGAGGTAGGATGTCTGCTCCAGGGTCACCCCGTCTCCCTTCTCCCCACCAGCTACAGACAGCCCCCTACAACCCACACAGACAACATTGTTTAACCAAAACCAAGACATCACAGTTGCTTTTCTTTGAAACGAAACATCTCCGATGTTCATTCTGTGAGTGCACAAGCCCACAGCCTTCCTTGCTTTTCAGAAGGCATCATCTGTTTGATGATCTCTCTTGGGACCACAGTTTTTTGGTCCCAGATCTTTCCATTAGTAGAAATGAGGAAGTCATTACATTTTGGGAGAACTTCTGGTCTGTTGGCAAAGTGTAATGCAGCTAATACCAGACTGTAAAATCAATGCCTCTGCAACTAGAAAGCAAGAAGAACATAGAAGACTGGACCATCGCATGGGTAGATGGCCCATGACTTTCATCCCATCCTCTACTGCAACGTGGCTCCATGTTCCAGCCCCTCCAAGCAGCTTTGTGGAGAGTAACTAACGACCCATCATTTCCTTTGTTGGTCTTTGTTCCTGGCAGCTTGGTTCAGAAGTGTCTTGTCTCATTCTATCCTGTTACCTTCAATGATAGCAGCCCATTTTATACTGAGCTATGGAGCACAGTGACTGGTTCTGTGCCAGGCAATGTTTAGAATGTATTACATGACTTACTCATTGAATTTCAGCTCACATGCGTGAGGAACCAGTCTTTTATTCCCATCCTTCAGATAAAGATATTGAGGCACCCAGAGGCGAAGCAGTTTGCCCAAGGACACGTACCTGGTTTAAGTGGCTGAGCCCGAACTAGAACCCAGAACATGTGTGTCGAGCACCCAAGCTCTTGAACACCAAGCCCTGGTGCCTTAATAAGCCAGGCGTACCACACCCACCATCCTGTCCTGCCAAGTTCTTTAGCTGAGGCATTGGCCAAGTCCTCCCTCCCTTGCCATGCGTGCCCACAGTAACTCGGACCTTCCATACCCCTCCATACATCTCCATACACCTGCACGGCGGCCTTCCTAGTCCAGTCGCCACTCCTCATGCTCAGAAAATGTCAGGGATTCTCCAGGACTTCTCCATGCCTGGGCTGCCCCAGTCCACCCAGCCCATCGATTTCCCTACACTTCACTCCACAAATCCTACACACTCTTCTCTGACATGCTCAACTTCTCGCCTCAGTGGCTTGCTCTATCCTGTAGCATATCCCAGCGTCATTTAAGCATGTCTACATTTCCATCAACATTCACGTCCTAACTCAAGTGCCCCCCTCTCCAAAAAGACTTCTGCCAACTCCCCAATGGAGGCAAACTCTAACTTCTAAAGTCCCAAAGCATTTTCCCACGTTTTTCTCATTGTGTTTACTGCTTTCTATCTTATCTTAGAGTGATCTACAACAGATCTGGTACCCCTGAAATACTAAGAATTCACTGCGACACGCTCTATGTCTAATTCACCTTTGTTTCCCCTACAAGAGTGTCTAACAAAATTCCTTGCCGTAGTAGGCACTGAGTAAATATAAGTTGCCAGAAGGCACCTGTGCTATACAGGAAGCCAGAGTTGTGAAGGAAGGTGTGCAGAGGTGTATGGGGTGGGATCCCCTGGCCCATCCTATGGTCACCCACCATCATGCTTTAGCTTCCAAAAAACCTGAACCTCCAGAGGTTTGCCCCCTTGATGGGGTCCACCGGACTCCTTAGCCCTCTTTCCCGTTGCCCAGTCCCACAGGACACCTGCCGCTCACAGTGACTGAGCAAAGGCATGGCATACCTCGGAAAGCCTTCTAATCCTTTGCCTTAAGGCCAAAGGACAGGAGGAATAGGGTCTCTTCTCAAAACTTCACTGCTAACAAATCAAGAGACCTTTTGATATTGACCCCTCTGCATGGGAACAGATTCTGTGATCTGAAATAGGCTAATTATATGAATAAATGGTTTTAGAATCTGATAAAGTCACTCTCTCAAAGGCAAGTGGGCCGATGGGCCTCCTTTTCCTTTTGGTATATGAGTGGTTAAATACACGGAGATCTACTGCTTTCTCTTGCCTCAGTGCCTAGACTTATAACAAGTAATTTTTATTTGTGTTGGCGACAGTGGTTTCTTGTTCAGATATTTCCTTAATAGAATTTACCCAAACACAAGACAGATTCAGACTTGTGAAGGAGCTATATACTGTTCACTGAAGATGCCCCTTTACGGGGAACCAGAGTGTGGGCATTGAGTGGGCGTCACTGTGAGGCGTGTAGATGACCCCAGATTACCCTCTTATTAAAGGAGAAACTGTTACAAAGGTCTCTTGGTGAAAACTCCCCTCTTTGCTAACTCCATCACACAGGGCTCTTCTTCAGCCAACCTTCCGAAGGACAGAGCCCTGGTCTCTTCTGCGTCCCCCACAATGACTAAGGCATGTTCTTATTCATGTGGACATTTAGTGCTTCTGCTGACAGTCATTTTTCCAACAAGAGTTTCTATCTGACCTACTTTTATCTATGTGTTCACTAGAGGAAGCACATGTCCCTACCTGCTCTGTTTAAATCAGGAATTCTCAGTGTTGGAACTATTGGCATTTGGGGCCAGATAACTTTTTGCTGTGGGAGGCTGTGCACTGCAGAGTGTTTAGAGGTCTCCCTCGCCTCCGCTCACTAGATGCCACTAGAGCCCCCCCCGACTGTGATAGTCAAAACTCTCCCCGGCATGGCCGAATCTCTCCTCTGAGGCAAAATTGCCCCCAGGGGAGAATACCTGGGTTAGATGGGTGCCACACATATTTACTTCCTATATACCAGGTATTGTACGAAGCACTTTGAATATATTGACTCATTGAAGATTTGTAATCCTAGGAGGTGGGTACTGTTACAGTTACCCCCACTTTACAGATGAAGAAGTGGGAACTGAGTGTTCAAGTGACTTGCCCACGGTTGCACAGCTAGTGTGTGGCAGAGCTGAGATTAGAACCCAGGCAAAACTAACTAGGTGCAAGCTTTATCCCCCTTGAGAACAAGTTTATTTTTTCTTGTGATAAAATACACGCAACATTCACCATGTTAACCATTTTAAAGTGTACACTTCAGCAATTTAGTGGCATTAGGTACATTCACAAAGCTCTGCTCTCATTACCACTATCTAGTTCCAGAACATTCTCATCACCCAAAATGAAATCCAATACCCATTCAGCTGTCACTCACCGCTCCCTTTTCCTTCTAGCCCCTGGCAACCACTCATCTGCTTTCTATCTCTGGATTGGCCTATTCTGAATATGTCATAATGAATGGAGTCATACAACATATGGCCTTTGTGTCTGGCTTCTTTTTCTTAGCATGTTTGCAAGATTCATCCATGCTGTAGTGTGTGTCAGTTCATCATTGCTTTTTATTGCTGAATGATAACCCATTGTATGGATAGAATACATTTCATTCAGCCCTTCATCAGTTGATGGACATTTGGGTTGTTTTCATCATCTGGCTATTGCAAGTAGTGCTGCTAAGAATATTCTTGGACAAGTTTTTGTTTGAACAACTGTTTTCAGTTCTTTGGGGTGTACACTAACTATATGCTTTTAACTACTCTCTAAACTGTCCCTCATCCAAATAATGTTTGCATTAAAAAACATTTAGGGGTTAGATGCCAGAATTATTCTCCCCACTGTCAACCTGTGAACAACTCCCAGGGCTGGGTCCCCTGGTCTGGCTTTGAGGAGGAGATTTTGTTCTCCCTGACCTCTTCCAAAGCAGGTACTACTTAAGACACGTTTGGAAGGAAGTGGGGCTATAAATAAATGGTGAAATAAACTCACCACTTCATTTTTTTAAATTTATAAATAAGGCTTGGGATTCTATTTTCTATGGCTTCTCACTATTCTTCTTCATCTGATTTAGATCCTGAATCCAAGAAGGGCACAGGCACCCAGAAGGCAGTGCAAGGTTGTCAGCTGAAGACAAGGAGGCAAAACTGGACGGTGGGCAGGAAGGCTCGGGGAAGCGAAGCCCAGGGGGGTGAGTACATACATGCAAAGTGCCCAGGAACAGCAGTGGGACTGCTGACATCAGTCACCTAGCAACATAAGCCAAGAGGGGACCTCAGAGCTTCATCTATCCAATGGCCCCTTCTCCGCCTGGCTCAGGCGAGC